CGACTGCCTATGCTGCCCCTTTCACGGGAGAGAATTGATACAATTATGGGATTGGCATAATAAACATCAGAAATTGGTACGCCGACTGCCTATACTGCCCCTTTCACGGGAGAGAATTGATAAAACTATGGGATTGGCATAATAAACATCAAAAATTGGCACGCAGACTGACTATACTCCCCCTTTCACGGGAGAGAATTTATACGATTATGGGATTGGCATAATAAACATCAGAAATTGATACGCCGACTGCCTATACTCGGCCTTTCACTGAGAGGATTTATACAATTATGGGATTGCCATATTAAACATCAGAAATTTTGGGGCCAGCGGTATTGAAATTTGGCGCCGTTTTGTGGTTTGTGGGTTGGAAGGTTCGATGAGTGTGAGTGCCTGAATGTGCGTAGTAGAACTATCATGATTTTGTCGTTGAAGTGATAAGGAGATATGTTTGGCGTGCGCATCAATGTGTGCCCAATTCTTTATACATACAAACAAAAGGACTCTGAGCTTCACCTTCCGATAGCAACAACACGACTCAGAGCTCGTATGCTTCCCTATCCGCGTGAGGTATGAATTCAAACCAAGATCAGTGCATCTACAGCCTACACTCTGGGAGACATGGGATACACCCACACACAATGCGCACACACAACACGTGCTAGGTTTATGTACACCGGTCAAACGGGACATACACTGCTGTACTGCCGTTCTGCTTCTTCCTTACCTGTTAGTGAGTGTTAACGCCCGCTTTCGACCAACAATGGGCGAGCCTGATTTGAACAAAATATTCTTCATGCTCGACATGGCCATATTGCGAGTGCGCGGCGTGTTTTTGTCACTACTTGGCCCAATTTTAACAGCACCTCGAGGGGATTTGGCACCCCCCTTGGGAGTGTTGGTACTCTTACTGGCTGCGCTGTTTACGTTAACACTGCCGGAGCTGCCCCCATCGGCAGGCTGTAGAGCGTTATCGGTGGACTTGCGCTGTGAGCGGAAGAAGGACTCTTTCATATTCTGCACAAACACCTGCGATGTGATTAAGGCAAGAATACGACGCCAGTTTGGCGACAGGAAGGCATAAAACGAATCGCATTCGCGGGGATATTGGGAAGACATGTACTGGATCTGATGCTGGCTTCTAGTCTTCACTAGTTAC